TGAATATATACATCCTACTAATATCCTATTCAAATCAAGAATATCACCCCTCTAATTACAATAAAATACTTATGTTTACTACTATTTGGTTATTAATTTATAATTTTGAAAAGAATTTGGGACGTGAAAGAAAAACTACTTTGCTAAATAAAAGAATCATGTAGCAGAAAAGATTCTAACACTTAAAAAAAATATATTTGCAAAAAAAAGAAAAAGAAAAAAAAACACTATTTATTACCATCTTATTAAACATTAAAGTGCACAAATAATTTTTTTTAGGAAGGACTCAGTCGACCTTCAAAATTTGCGTCCCGTTGCATTGTGCGGGAATACAATATATATATATATAATATATATATAGATATATATATATATATATATATATATAGAATATATATATATAGATATCTATATGATATATTATATTATATATATATATATATATATATATATATGACTCAATTCTCCTAACCTTTTATGCATTTCACTTTCTCCCTTACATTTCCTTCCATCTACACATGATCTTTGTATTATTTACTTTTCTAAAACGAAAAGCAAGGTTGCTCTACCCATCTATATCCTTTCAAGTTTTAAATTTTTGCAGTCAAGCTTCCTTCATCTATTCAGTTGTGTTTGAATCATGTCAGAGTCAGATAGTTTGGAATCGCAAAAATCTCAATTCTCTGGAAGGCAACAACCCGACCCTTTAAAATGCCCAAGATGTGAGTCAACAAACACAAAGTTCTGCTACTACAACAACTACAACAAAATGCAACCTCGATACTTTTGCAAAGCTTGTAAGAGGCATTGGACGGAAGGTGGCATTCTTCGTAGTGTCCCCATTGGTGGTGGACGGAAAAACAAGCGACTCAGACGACCTACCATCACCGCCACCGCTGCCTTGGCTATTAGGAACAACCCATCTAAAGATGAAGATAGTCTTCTCGGGATAATAAGTGATCCCAAAGATACATCTGACGTTGGTAAAACATCAATCGTTAAACAAATTGGTTGTGAAATGAGATATGATGTGGAATCATACACAGATATCGAAGAGTTAAAGGGTTTGGTTTCGTGGGATTTCAGTGGGAGCTTTATAGGTTGTACATTGCAACAATCGGTTGATCATCCAAAATTAGAGTTTTCAAAAACTTTAAATTGTTTTCAGACAAACGCTAGTTCGTATATTCCAAGAACTTGTACCGAATTGCTCGAAAATGATGATGATTCAACTATTACAACAGCAAGCATGATCATGCCAAGTTCTCAACAATGCCAACTTCCTAGCACAAGCAATTTCTTGGAGCTAAATAATTGGAACTGGAACGATCTTGATACTATGATTCCAGATGATCTTGATAAACCTTGAGAGGATCAATCATTCAGAACCTAATATGAGGTGACATGATATTAAGAAAGTTTTGTATCTATATGATCATGCTTTAGAGTTATATTGAGCATATTTTTCTTTATATCGTTCTCGATTTTCTTGAATTTAGACCACAATTTGCTTTATCTTTTCAACTGTAACTAACCATATTAAAGATCCTACACCTTGTCGTTATATATGTTAAATCTTAGTTAGATAAGAAGATTAGAGATTTCGTTACCTAAGGGCCTTTGATCTTCTAGTATCAGAATTTGTTGGATTGGTGTCTCTCAACCAAGTTGGTTGTAGGTTCACTGAAGTGAAAAAAAGTGTAGATTTAAGAGTCGATAGTGAGTTTCGGGAGTAGACTTTCTTAATAAAAAGGTAATTTTAATTATTGTATGCAAAGCAATTAACAAGTCGCTAGATTATCAAAACCTTAACTTGGACAAAGACGAACAAGACAAAATGAAACTATGTACAACATAATTCGATGAACTATATTTATAAGTTTGAATCGATCTTATACTTGTATAAGATAATTTATAAATTAAGAAAAATAGCATAACCTGTTAATATAAATCGATAATATCTAATTAATGGAATCCAAACCTAACCAAGGTATCTAGGATTGGGTGATAGATGGTGATGGGAAGAAATTTGTTTGGGACATACATGTGACAGACATTTGGGGTCTATAATCCACTTCCATTGTTTTGAGTTGATGTAGATAAGATGGAAGATTCTTTGGATTTTCCTATTCTTGTTCGTGTCAAAATGGAACCAGTGGAAAATTTGTGTACAAAAACAATATTAATTTATATTAAAATGATTGATTTTAAATATAATAATGCAAAATATATTTATAAATCACGAAGCACTACGCATTATTTTGGACATACCAAAATCCCCCAAACATTATTTTATGGAATTTTACATCTCAATCACTATACTTCAACACAGAGCACAGGACAGTAGAAGTGAATTAAAAAAAAATGGTGTACAATTTTAAATAAACGTAATTTTCGATCCATCCAAAATAACAGGTTCCATTTTAGACGGAGGAAAAGCGCACCGAAGTGCCCCACTCCTAAGACAGAATTTCACTGTTTTGGCGTTCGAATTTCCCAACCTTGGCTCACTTTCCATTTTAACACATTTAGGTTAATTGTAAAATCATGTGATTATTATAATTTCCGTAAATCATAAGATTGATTAAGCATTTAATTTGAGCAATTTCTTGTCAAATTTAATTTTGTGATATTTGTCAATACCTATCAAACTTAAATCTGCCATATAAAAGTAAATAAAAAATAAGCTTTTGAAAGAATTTGGAAATCAAAAAATATAACTTCTTTGTAAAACTCTCAACAATAGTATGTTATTAATTACACTCGGTGGTATTAGGTGTTAGATTAGGAGAATATTATATTTGTATTTATCGGTTAAAAAAAATCTATAGTACATTATATTTAAATGGTTGTAATGTTTTTTTTATCACTAATACAAAATTAAAATATAACATAACTACGAGCGTCGTTTAAATGTATGTTCGTCGTTCGACAGTGAGCTTCTAATAGCAATTAGGGGTTTTTTAAAAATAGCACGAAACAAAGAAAAATATTAGTTCCAAATACCACCTTATAAATTTTCTTTTACACAAAAAGCTCCTAATCCAAAATAGTTTTTTTCATGGTTTTGAAAACTACACGAAAGGGCTGTTCAACCGAAAACTAGTCAGGTTACTTATTTTTTTAAACCCAAAAACCAGTGATATTAAAAACCAGAAAAAACTGGACATCTAAAACAGTTATTTGATAAAAATCATTTGACAGCACCGCTACTGCAAGGCGTTTATTTGATTTTATAAAAGTTAAGTTTGCTACCCAGATTGTATTCACGAACAATGTGGGAAGTAATATCTTGGCTTTATGCATAAAACTTGTACTTCTTTAAATTTATAATTACATACCCAATTCTCCTTTTATGTTTTAAACGATTTGGGAATAGTCGACATTGCTTTACATAAAAACTTATTAAACTCGAACTATAGAGCCAAGAATCCTTTTTCCAATAGATATATATATATAGTTATATATATATAATAGTATATATATATATATAGATATATATATATATATATATATATATATATATATATAGATATGGTCCTGTTCCGATGATGACTCTTTTTTCAGTGAGGACTCGTAAAAACACCTTAAAAAATTGAAAAAAAATGTAAAAAAATACAAATCATAAAATCTAGCATAGTACTATATCGGAGAAAAAAAAATTGGATCATTAAAAGTGAATAATGGATCATAAAAATGATCCATGATTCAATTTTAATGATCCAAAAAAAATTCCAATTTTTTTTTTCTCTCCAATATAGTATTATACTCGATTTTATAATTTGTATTTTTTTTCAATTTTTTTAAGGTGTCCTTACAAGTACACCTTTTACAATTAAGAACAAATATGAATTACAACTTTTAAATGTTAAAAAATTTAAAGATTTATTAATCACTCTTTCTCTCTCTACTATCTCTTTCTAAATATTTCTTTCATCTTCAAGCAGGGACGGAGCCAAAAAAATTTTTAGGGTGTTCCTTACAAAATGATTGATATATATATATATATATATATATATATATATATATATATATATATATATATATATATATATATATATATATAATATATATAGGACCGGTCCGTTGATTTTGAAGGCCTTATACGAAAAATGAAAATAGCCCTCAAAATACAATTTTTTATATACATATAAGAAAAATAAATCTAAAAAAATTAAAAACTAAATAAAATTATCTAAAAATGGAATTATGTAAATTTATAAAATTTAATGTGTGAAATATAAAATTTTTGAAAACTAACTTAATAAAAGAATTGAACTTTTAAATATGAAGTGTCAAAATGTAAATTTAGAAATAAATTACTTAAAAAAACTGATATGTAAGAGAATAAAGTCGAACTCTAAATTGAACTACAAATGTCTTTTAAATACTTTGCATCCAAATAATACTTTATTACTAAATGCAAAAAAAATAAATAAATAAATAATTGAGGGTGAGCCTGGGCCTACCCTACGTGTAACGCCCCGTTCCTGGTACGCATTTAATCTATTTAAAGTATTCATTTTGTAAGAGCTACTCGACGAGTTGGTAGCCCTAACTCGTCGAGTAGATGCCAGCTTGATCGCGGGGTTTAAGTGGTCTACTCGACGAGTCGAAGCCTGGACTCGGCGAGTAGGTCCATCAGGAGGAAACCCTAATCTTCAGGGTTTGCATCCTATTTAAACATCATATCTGGCCTCCACCCCATCCTCTATCACCTCCAAACCCTAATCTCGAAACCCTAATCCACCTTGAGTGATTTGGAGCTAGTTCTTGCCATTTTTGAGTGTTTTTGTGCATTGTGAAGCTTGTGGGAGAAGAAGAAGATAGAAGGCTCAAAGGGGAAGAAGTAGATCCAGGAGCTACACTTCATTTACTGCATTTTCTGGTAATCAAGTCTCTAACTTGATCCTTCTTCTCTTAGATCTATTTGTTTGCATTTTATGAAGGAATTGGTTAAAGAATCCTTAGCCCTTGGGATTGGGACGTCCCAAGTGAGGTATATCTCAAATCTAGGGTCTAGGAAGGGTTCCATGGCATAAAGGTGCAAACTTTATGACCATGGAGACCCATGCAAGTCAATATGCAAGAACATGGCCTTTTTAGCCCTAAAAGACCATGCATGGGAGGAAAGCTCGGGACTTTACATGTCCCACATATGATAAGAGCCTAGATCTAGTATATTATGCTTTGGTTTATGGTATTATGGCTTGTGGACCAAGTTTTATGTCTTAAAGAAGTTAGGGTTTTGGTTAAACCCATTAGGAAGGACTAAGGATGGGTAAAGTTGGAAACTTTACCCATAAGAGTGCATTTCCAGTATGTAGATGAGGTTTGGAACATAGATCTAAATGTAGGAGCTTAATCCATTAAGATGGCTCAATCAGACAGGGGAACTCCCCAAGTCCAGGGAAGGACTCGACGAGTTGAAGCGAGTTGTCCCGATTTTTATGATAGCAAGAACTCGACGAGTTGACTCAGTTGACCACGGGTTTAAGCATTCAGGGACCCGCCGAGTTGGGAGATAACTCGACGAGTTGGGTTGATTGGGAGTTAACTTTGACTTTGGCTTTGACCAGGGGTAAACTGGTCATTTTACCCTAAGAGGGGATTAGCATATTTTGATTAATTGTTACTATGGAATTGATAGTCGGAGAGTCGTCGGAGCAGCAGACAGGGATTCCTCACTCGAGTTTTCAGCAGTCAGTCTTGCGAGGTGAGTTTCCTTCAGTAGGAACGGGTCTACGGCACCAAGGCTGGCCCGTATATGTGATGTGTTAGTAGTTGAGTATGGGCGGGGCCCGAATCTCATAGTAGTTAGAGTGGGTAGGGCCTGATGCCGATAGCATTATTTTGAGTATAGATATGTGATTGTTTGGTAGACATACTTGTTGTCTGTGTGATACTTGTATGCTTGTTAGTAGCGGAGTGTGGGCGGGGCCCGAATCTCCTAGACAGCGGAGTGTGGGCAGGGCCCGAATCTCCTAGACAGTGGAGTGTGGGCGGGGCCCGAATCTCCATGAGAGTGGGCAGGGCCCGTATCTCCTAGTTGCATGGTATTTGTATGGTATGTGGTAGTTTGGGGAAATCACTAAGCTTCGTGCTTACATTTTTCAGTTTTGGTTTCACGTACTTCCACTAGCAAAGGGGACGGGCTCGGGATGATCGCGTGGCACACACCACAACTTCAGTCTGGGATGTTTAGACTCTGATATTTTCATATGATTTGATACACTATTTGACACGATGTTTTGAGATACACGATTTATGGTTTTCTTTATGATGAAGGATGACTTATGGTTTTATTATAAATGATTTTAAAAAGAAATTTTTGGTATGTATTCTTGGGATGTTACAAGTTGGTATCAG